ATGTTCGATAGGGTCCTGCTCGAAGGCTTCGAATTAGTCCTCCTGCTTTAACCTCATTTGATGCTGAAGGTATCTCTAAGCATGTTTGATTATACCTAGCCACATATTTACGAAGTGACTCATGTTCTCCTTGCCTCATCGCCATCAAAGTAAGATAGATCTTTTCCTGAGATACCGAACTGGAGTACTGGTTCAGCAACTTATCCGCGAAATCTTCAAAATCTTTGATCGATCCCAGGGGAAGTTGATTAAACCAATCCAAAGCTCCTCCCCTTAGGGTCGACAAGAACGCCCTACAACTTACCGCCTCTGAGTACCCGTGCAAAACTGCCATGTTCTCGAAAGTTCAAATGTATCGTGACGGGTCACCTGTTCCATCAAACACCAAGTGGATTTCCTTGAAATTTCCTGGCAGTGGTGCATCCAAGATTCGGGTTGAGAAAGAATGTCCCTGAACGCGTCCAAATGATTGACTATCCACTCTTTCTTGCAGTTGCCTCACCTGCTCGACCAGTCTTTCCATTTCCCCTCCGCGAGGAAGCGTGTCTCTATGACTAGATGCGTCCTCCTCATTGGCTTCACTCAATGTTGTTGGGACAACTGTCGCTTGAGATTGACTAGCTGTTACCTGCCGTACTGCTCGAGCAGTAGCATTGGTTATCATTTGCTCTAACTGTTCTCTGGTCAAGGTCACCAATTGTTGTCCTGGAGGTCGAGCCGCCATCAAGGGTGGTACGGGTTGGACTCTAGCCCCCTCATTTTGCGGTATTACCCGATTTGCTTGGGGCAGTGGCTCGACTACCCTGTTCTGCTCCCCATTTACTAGAAGCATCATCAGATCTCCCTTGCCTTAAGCTACAGTTACCGGATTTTCTCTGTTTTGAGTCACAGTCGCCGGATTTTCTCCACCTTGGGTTATAGAGGCCGAATTTCCTTCACCTTGGATTACAGTGGCCGGATTTCTTCTACCTTGAATTACAGTGGTCGGATTTCCTCCACCTTGAGTTACAGTGGCCGGATTTCCTCCACCTTGAGTTACAGTGGCCGGATTTCCTCCACCTTGAGTTACAGTTGGGTGACTTACTGGTGTTTGCGATGTTCCAGCAAGACCCGGAGGTGGGCCTTCCCCCATTTGCCTCGTCTCAATCCATGCATCATCAAATGACGACTGCAAGTTTTTTCTCGGAATGTCGTTCGTCATAGCCTTAGGTGTTGCAAAGCAAAAGCTTCTTGTTCAAATGTCCCACAGACGGCGCCAAAATGGTATGAATCTTATACCTTGAACCGACTGAGCTCCTTGAAAACTCGCCTCTCACACTGGTTGATCACTTCTAATACCTGCAAAAAGCCAATACCGGAGAAGAGATGTCTCCGGCTCGACCCTCCGATGCCTAAGTTAGTTCCTCTTGCTCCTTTTTCTTTTTAGAAGAATGTGTATTCAAGAAAGTAATCCCCTTTACCTGGAGCCGATTACCTTCCTATATAACTCCATGGATAACGGTTTGACCCACGATCTAACTGCTTCCATCCACGATTCCCGAATATTAGGGAGTTGTTAAATCCCCACTTTCCGGTTTAACACGCTGATTTAATATTCTGTTTGACTAATTCCCCTGGTCGATAGGCTCATTTACTTCTGTTCGATTAGTCCATCTGCTCGATTATCAATTATATAATCGATACGATCTGCACCCTCACTAGACCATCCATCTCGATATATGGGGAAGATGAGATAATGTCTCATATCAGGTAATTTGTAAATATTTATATATGAGGGATGTAGTTATGTAATAAAGACAGATTAATTAAGTGGAGCGTGCAAATTTCTCTGCACGCTATATGCACAAAATGAAAACACTTGGCTAGTGGGTTGATTTACTAATTTGCACAGGATTTATCTCCCAAAAAAAAAAAAAAAACGATGCAGGCCAAAGGAAGAAAATATGGGAGTTGTAGAGGTGGCCACGTGTCAACTTACCAACCCTCTCAACTCCCGTTTATTAAGATGTAGAGGGATATATATTGAAGTGAATAAGTTTCACCCGGGCTCCTTCAACTCGAACCGGCCTCCGTACCTGCAGAACCCAATGCCGGGGGTGGCCCCGGCGTCGGGCCTCCGATGCTTAAGTCAGTGCTCAGATCAAGAGAGAGAAAGTGTAGTCATTGAATGAATAGAGAGAATGAGGTACCTTGGCCCCCTTTTATAGGGGGAGTGTACCTTTTGAGCCCAAGTTGGGCCTGACCCCTATCGTTGGGCTTAGATGTCTTAGTGGGCTTATCTTCCAATATGTATCCGCTTTATCCATTAAACCAGATCCAGTATAATATCCTATATCATCTAGTCCCCCCCACTCTGGTCGAGTAAGCATAACTCGATCCATGAGTGAAATGCCTCTTCGAGTTGTTTTCTTCAACTTGCCACTAAGATCGAGCATCGAAAATCGAATGACCATTGAATAACCACTGAAATATCCTCCCAATGAGCTTTGAGATCTCAAGATCAAAAACTGAAAGACCACGGAGGTAAAAAACCGAATGATCTGATGTCGGGGTTGAAAATTGAGAGTCGAGACCGCTGAGGTCGAAAACCGAGAAAAGAGACCGTTGAGGTCGAAAATTGAGAGTCGAGACCGTTGAGGTCGAGAACTGAGAGTCGAGACCGCCGAGGTCGAAAACCGAGAATGGAGACCGCTGAGGTCGAAAATTGAGAGTCGAGACCGTTGAGGTCGAAAACTGAGAGTCGAGACCGCTGAGGTCGAAAACTGAGAATCGAGACCGCTGAGGTCGAAAATTGAGAGTCGAGACCACTGAGGTCGAAAACCGAGAGTCGAGACCGCTGAGGTCAAAAACCGAGAATCGAGACCGCTAAGGTCGAAAATTGAGAGTCGAGACCACTGAGGTCGAAAATCGAGAATCGGGACCGAGAGTCGAGACCACGGAGGTCAAAAATCGAGAGTCGAAACTGCTGAGGTCGAAAACCGAGAATCAAGACCGCTGAGGTCGAAAACCGAGAATCGAGACCGTTGAGGTCGAAAACCGAGAGTCGAGGCTGCTGAGGTCGAAAACCGATAGTCGAGACCGCTGAGGTCGAAAACCAAGAATCGAGACCGCTTAGGACGAAAACTGAGAATCGAAACCGCGAGAGGTCGAAAACCGAGAGTTGAGACCGATGAGGTCAAAATCGAGAATCGAGACCGCAAGAGGTCGAAAACCGAGAGTCGAGACTGCTGAGGTCGAAAACCGAGAATTGAGACCGCTGAGGTAGAAAATTGAGAGTCGAGACCGTTGAGGTCGAAAACTGAGATTCGAGATCGCTGAGGTCGAAAACCAAGAATCGAGACCGCTGAGGTCGAAAATCGAGAGTCGAGACCGTTGAGGTCGAAAACTGAGAATCGAGACCGCTAAGTTCAACATCGAGAATCGAGACCGCAAGAGGTCAAAAACCGAGAGTCGAGACTGCTGAGGTCGAAAACCGAGAATCGAGACTGCTGAGGTCGAAAACTGAGAATCGAGACCGTAAGAGGTCGAAAACCGAGAGTCGAGACCGCTGAGGTCGAAAACCGAGAATCGAGACTGTAAGAGGTCGAAAATCGAGAGTCGAGACCGCTGAGGTCGAAAACCGAGAATCGAGACCGCTGAAGTCGAAAATTGAGAGTCGAGACCGTTGAGGTCGAAAACTGAGAGTCGAGACCGCTGAGGTCGAAAACCGAGAATCGAGACCGTTGAGGTCGAAAACCGAGAGTCGAGACCGTTGAGGTCAAAAACCGAGAATCAAGACCGAGAATCGAGACCGCGGAGGTCGAAAACCAAGAATCAAGACCGCTGAGGTAAAAAACTGAGAATCGAGACCGCTGAGGTCGAAAACCGAGAGTCGAGGCTGCTGAGGTCGAAAACCGAGAATCAAGACCGCTGAGGTCGAAAGCCGAGAATCGAGACCGCAAGAGGTCGAAAACCGAGAGTCGAGACCATTGAGGTCGAAAACCGAGAGTCGAGACCGCTGGGGTCAAAATCGAGAATCGAGACCGCAAGAGGTCGACAATCGAGAGTCAAGACCGCTGAGGTCGAAAACCGAGAATCGAGACTGCTGAGGGCGAGAACCAAGAATCGAGACCGCAAGAGGTCGAAAACCAAGAGTCGAGACCGCTGAGGTCGAAAATCGAGAATCGAGACCGCAAGAGGTCGAAAATCGAGAGTCGAGACCGCTGAGGTCGAAAATCGAGAATCGAGACTGCTGAGGTCGAAAATTGAGAGTCGAGACCGTTGAGGTCAAAAACCAAGAGTCGAGACCGCTGAGGTCGAAAACCAAGAATCGAGACCGCTGAGGTCGAAAATCGAGAGTCGAGATCGTTGAGGTCAGAAACTGAGAATCGATACCGTCGAGGTCGAAAACCGAGAATCGAGACTGCTGAGGTCAAAATCGAGAATCGAGACTGCAAGAGGTCGAAAACCGAGAGTCGAGACCGCTGAGGTCGAAAATCGAGAATCGAGACCGCTGAGGTCGAAAACTGAGAAACGAGACTGCAAGAGGTCGAAAACTGAGAGTCGAGACCGTTGAGGTCGAAAACCGAGAATCGAGATCGCAAGAGGTCAAAAACCGAGAGTCGAGACCGCTGAGGTCGAAAACCGAGAATCGAGACCGCTGAGGTCGAAAATTGAGAGTCGAGACCGTTGAGGTCGAAAACCGAGAGTCGAGACCGCTGAGGTCGAAAACCGAGAATCGTGACCGCTGAGGTCGAAAACTGAGAGTCGAGACCGTTGAGGTCGAAAATCGAGAATCGAGACCGAGAGTCGAGACCGCAGAGGTCGAAAAACCGAGAATCAGGACTGCTGAGGTCGAAAATTGAGAATCGAGACCGCTGAGGTAAAAAACTGAGAGTCGAGGTCGCTGAGGTCGAAAACTGAGAATCGAGACCGCTGAGGTCGGAAGCCGAAAATCGAGACCGCAAGAGGTCAAAAACTGAGAGTCGAGACCATTGAGGTCGAAAACTGAGAGTCGAGACCGCTGCGGTCAAAATCGAGAATCGAGACCGCAAGAGGTCGATAACCGAGAGTCGAGACTGCTGAGGTCGAAAACCGAGAATCGAGACCGCTGAGGTGGAAAACCGAGAATCGAGACCGCAAGAGGTCGAAAACCGAGAGTCGAGACAGCTGAGGTCGAAAATCGAGAATCGAGACCGCAAGAGGTCGAAAACTGAGAGTCGAGACTGCTGAGGTCGAAAATCGAGAATCGAGACCGCTGAGGTCGAAAATTAAGAGTCTAGACCGTTGAGGTCGAAAACCGAGAGTCGAGACTGCTGAGGTCAAAAACCAAGAATCGAGACCGCTGAGGTCGAAAACCGAGAGTCGAGACCGTTGAGGTCGAAAACCGAAAATTGAGACCGCTGAGGTCAAAATCGAGAATCGAGACCGCAAGAGATCGAAAACCGAGAGTCGAGACCGCTGAGGTTGAAAACCGAGAATCGAGACTGCTGAGGTCGAAAACCAAGAATCGAGACCGCAAGAGGTCGAAAACCAAGAGTCGAGCCCGCTGAGGTCGAAAACCGAGAATCGAGATCGCAAGAGGTCGAAAACCGAGAGTCGAGACCGCTGAGGTCGAAAACTGAGAATCGAGACCGCTGAGGTCGAAAATTGAGAGTCCAGACTGTTGAGGTCGAAAACCGAGAGTCGAGACCGCTGAGGTCGAAAACCGAGAATCGGGACCGCTGAGGTCGAAAACCGAGAATTGAGACCGTTGAGGTCGAAAACCGAGAGTCGAGACCGTTGAGGTCGAAAACCAAGAATTGAGACCGAGAGTCGAGACTGCGGAGGTCGAAAACTGAGAGTTGAGACCGCGGAGGTCGAAAACTGAGAATCGAGACTTCTGAGGTCGAAAATTGAGAGTCGAGACGGCTGAGGTTGAAAACCGAGAGTCGAGACCGCTGAGGTCAAAAACCGAGAATCGAGACCGCAAGAGGTCGAAAACCGAGAGTCGAGACCGCTGAGGTCGAAAACTGAGAATCGAGACCGCTGAGGTCGAAAATTGAGAGTCGAGACTGTTGAGGTCGAAAATCGAGAGTCGAGACCGCTGAGGTCGAAAACTGAGAATCGAGACCGCTGAGGTCGAAAACTGAGAGTCGAGACCGTTGAGGTAAAAAACTGAGAGCCGAGACCGCGAAGGTCGAAAACTGAGAATCGAGACCGCTGAGGTCGAAAACCGAGAGTCGAGACCGTTGAGGTCGAAAACCGAGAATCGAGACCGCTGAGGTCGAAAACCGAGAATCGAGACTACAAGAGGTCAAAAACCGAGAGTCGAGAACATTGAGGTCGAAACCACGAGTCGAAAGACCGTTGACCGAAGTCTTGAATTTGAAAATTTGAATTTACGTCTATTGTGTTTCGATCACCATGTTCGAGCTCCCTTATACCACCTCGTCCTAATACCCCTCAGTTCAAAGTTTAAGATTCAAGCCTGTTGTATATTCCTTTGAAAAATAAATCAACCACCAACCTGCTCAAGCCGTAATGAATATACTCGACCCGCCACTGAAGTCGAAAAATCAATTCGACGGAAGCATAATCAAATAAAGCACAATCAACCTGCTCAAGCCATAATGAATATACTCGACCCGCCACTGAAGTCGAAAAATCAATTCGACTGAATCATAATCAAATAAAGCGCAATCAACCTGCTCAAGCCATAATGAATATACTCGACCCGTCACTAAAGTCGAAAAATCAATTCGACGGAAGCATAATCAAATAAAGCACAATCAACCTGCTCAAGCCATAATAAATATACTCGACCTGCCACTAAAGTCGAAAAATCAATTCGACAGAAGCATAATCAAATAAAGCGCAATCAACCTGCTCATGACGTCATCAATCTCATCTCGCTGCCCTTGAAGTCGAAAAATCAATTCGACGAAACCAAGATAAAACGCAATCAACCTGCTCATGACGCAATGAATCTCATCTCCCTGCCCTTGAAGTTGAAAAATCAATTCGAGAAAACCAAGATAAAACGCAATCAACCTGCTACTGGGATCAAAATCACAAATACAGCAGAACCAAACCAAATAAAACCATCCATCTTCTCAAATTATCCATAATAAACTCCCGCCACTAGGATCGAAATCACAAATACAGCAAAACCAAATCGAATAAATCCATTAATTAACACTAGGATAGACCACCCAGCCCGGAGGCCTTAGTCATGGTGGATTTTGTCTTTCCTCAACCTGCCACTAGGTTAGGAACAAATGTACCATGATAACAAACCAAGTATAACCAAGAAGAAGTCATCGACCTGCCTTCGAGGTCTGCTCGAGCTATCCATGTCTTCACGACCCAACATTAGGATCGACCGCCCAACCCGGAGGCCTTAGTCATGGTGGATTTTGTCTTCGTACTGCTCGAATCATCCATAATGAACTTCCTCACCCTAACACTGGGTTAGGAACAAGTATACAATAATACCAGATCAAATAAACCGAATAGAAATCGTCGACCTGCCTCCGAGGTTTGCTCGAGCTATCCGTGTCTTCGCGACCCATCACTAGGGTCGACCACCCAGCCCGGAGTCCTTAGTCATGGTGGATTTTGTCTTCGTACTGCTCGAATCATCCATAATGAACTTCCTCACCCTACCACTGGGGTTAGGAACAAATATACAATAATACCAGATCAAATAGAACCGAATAGAAATCATCGACCTGCCTCCGAGGTTTGCTCGAGCTATTCGTGTCTTCGCGACCCAACACTAGGGTCGACCACCCAGCCCAGAGGCCTTAGTCATGGTGGATTTTGTCTTCGTACTGCTTGAATCATCCCTAATGAACTTCCTCACCCTGCCACTGGGGTTAGGAACAAATATACAATAATACCAGATCAAATAGAACTGAATAGAAATCATCGACCTGCCTCCGAGGATTGCTCGAGCTATCCGTGTCTTCGCAACCCAACACTAGGGTCAACCACCCAGCCCGAAGGCCTTAGTCATGGTGGTTTTGGTCTTCACACTTGCCCACCCACGAGGAATGTTCCAAACAGGAGGCCACCCGTCCCGGAGGCGCGAGTATATGACCAACCTGCCAACCCCAAGGGATGTTTCAAACAAGCGACCACCCGGCCCGAAGGCCTTAGTCATGGTGGGTTTGGTCTTCACACTTGCCCACCCACGAGGAATGTTCCAAACAGGAGGCCACCCGACCTGGAGGCGCGAGTATACGACCAACCTGCCCACCCCAAGAGATGTTCCAAACAAGCGACCACCCAGCCCGAAGGCCTTAGTCATGGTGGGTTTGGTCTTCACACTTGCCCACCCACGAGGAATGTTCCAAATAGGAGGCCACCCAGCCCGGAGGCGCGAGTATACGACCAACCTGCCCACCCCAAGAGATTTTCCAAACAAGCGACCACCCAGCCCGAAGGCCTTAGTCATGGTGGGTTTGGTCTTCACACTTGCCCACCCACGAGGAATGTTCCAAACAGGAGGCCACCTTGCCGGAGACGCGAGTATACGACCAACCTACCCACCCCAAGGGATGTTCCAAACAAGCGACCACCCAACCCGAAGGCCTTAGTCATGGTGGGTTTGGTCTTCACACTTGCCCACCCACGAGGAATGTTCCAAACAGGAGGCCACCCAACCCGGAGGCGCGAGTATATGGCCAACCTGCTCACCCCAAGGGATGTTCCAAACAAGCGACCACCCAGCCCGAAGGCCTTAGTCACGGTGGGTTTAGTCTTCACACTTGCCGACCCACGAGGAATGTTCCAAACAGGAGGCCACCCGGCCCGGAGGCGCGAGTATACGATCAACCTGCCCAGCCCCAAGGGATGTTCCAAACAAGCGACCATCCAGCCCGAAGGCCTTGTGCATAGGAGCACGGGCCGAAGGTAATATTTCGACCGAATCGGAGGAGGTAGTCGAGGTAGCAGGATCTGAAAACAAAGAAGAAAAGAACAATATCAAAAGGAAGAATTTGGCAAAAGGAAAGGGGGAGGAGGAGAAGGTTTTCGAAAATTAGGGCTTTACAAAGAGGCAATTTTGGAAAAATTAAAGAAAGAGAGCAGGAATTCTAAGGGATTTCCGAGGGGAGAAGGCGAAATTTATGGTAAGTAATAGGCGAGAGCAGATATCCAACACACTAATTCAAAACACTCAAGCAGCAAAACTTCAGATACCCAATTAAAAAAATTCAAGACGCAAAAGCTCAGATACAGGAAGTACAAAATCAGGAGAACAACAACTTACTCATAATAACGGAGGAGAGAATCGGGAAAGCTTGAAGATTGCAGGAAGAATCGCCGGCGGAAACTAGGATTTTTGTAGAGAGGACTTTGAATGCAAAGGAATTTGGGAGAGATGAAGGCGGAAAAAGTCCAAAATTTTACTAAGTGTCGGATTTATACTTGGGGAAGTTTAAGGGTTGAGAAGATGAAGACCGTTAGATTTAAGCCAGATCGTACGGTATGAAGCATTAATTTACACGGAACTGAAGGCTGGAACGTTATGCGAAGAGGTGTCATTATTAAAGAGCCTGACACATGCAACAGACGTGACGCGTGGCAGAAAAGCAAGCGCGATAGGAAAGACTTGAAGCACACGACTTTATTGCTAGCAATTAATGGAAAATTATTTGAAAGCATGAGCGGGAAACTTATCGACTGATCGATATCGGACGACGAGCCATCCAGGAGGTCGATAAATACTAATTCACTCTTAGATCGAGTCGTTCAGACTCGTCCAGAGTGGGGGGACTAGATGATATGGGATATTATATACACAAGGCTAAACCGGTTTGCTCAGCCAGTCGAGAAGGTCAAACCAAGAGGAAGCCAAGCCAAAAGGCGGGAGGATCGATCATTCAGATAATCGATCAGGCAGGTAGTCGACCAATTCATCGCTTGACCAGATAAGCGATCGAGAAACCTATTCGACTTCATTAGGTCGATCGCCTCGAGGACCCAACAGTCGGCCTAGTCACAGGCGCGTGTAGGAACCTCTAACCGAATCTCAGGAGAATATTTACCCCATGTGCAGGGGGACACGTATCGAGAATGCATTGGTGGATATCGATAACCACCTCTGACAGCTCCCAAACGCCCCCGCGCAACCTCTGACATGCGCGCGGTGTGTCAGAGTACGGACGGGCAGCTTGGGCAGCCAGCTCATCTTTTCCGGGCAGCTATTAGGGCAGGTATCTCACCCCTATATAAAGGGGGTGAGCCTTTCTCCCTTAAAGCATTCTATTTAGTACTCAACTCTAGTATACTCATACACATACTGACTTAAGCATTGGAGGCTCTTCACCGGACACAACCCCTAGTGTGAGAGTTGTTTGCAGGTTTCCGGCGTTCTACCGGCGAGGACAAGAACCGATCCACTCTAAACCGGGCCAAGACGCTTACGCTTGCATTATTGGCGCCGTCTGTGGGAAAACTCTTGTTCGAAAGGTTGTGTTTGAAGCTCAGCTATGGCGGACGGAATTCCAAGAACCAACTTGCAGTCTACGTTCGACGACGCTTGGACGACGACCAGGCCGATTGGACAAGGCCCTCCTACGGGTTTCTTTGGCCCTTCGCAAACGCCGGTCACTCCTACACCCGTCCTTCAGGGTGTGGGAGCGTCGACGGCGATCCCTGGAGGAGACGCCGGATCCAGTCGCGCCCAGGAAGCTTGCACAGTAGCCGCGGCGGCAATGCCACCGCCGCCACCACCGAATCCGACACTGGTGCAAGGAGGAGCGATGGCGCAAGGAGGAGCGCCATCACAAGCAGTTGTACAAGCTCTCGGTCAGCAAGTGGTGATGATGACCCGGGAGGAGATGCAGAGGATAGCGGCGGTCGCGGCGGCGCAGGCGGTGAAGCAAGTTACGAGCCACACATCTCATGCCACCACTGCGCCGGCCACGGTGGCCGAAAACTAAGATGAGGATGTGTCCAGTTATGGAGAGGGAGGAGTTGGAAGAGATCGGGCGATGGAGAGGATGGCGGAACAGTTGCGCCAGTTACAGAACAAAGTGGAGGGGAGGCCAGAGAGGAGAGCTCAAGGACATCCCTTTTCGAGGGAGACTCTCGCTGCTCCTTTGCCGAATAATTTCAAAGAGACCAACTTGGTGTATG